CTTTCTGCGCATGACTATGATACCATTACCTATGATTAAGGATTCCTGACGGAATTCGAAACGTCAGGACAATAAAAGTCTTGTTCCAGTGTTCACTTCTTCTTCTTCTTCTTCTTCTTCTTCTTCTTCTGAATGTGAGGCGTGTTGGTTTCTGTTAGCTTGGCGGTACGTACGACTGTACTGGTCAAGTTTCATCTTAAGGGGGTCTATGGATGGGGCGTGACGATGCCCCTTACCCCCGATTATCCTAATCAGCCACCCGAGGTAAATCTGTCACTCCTAAAAACTGCCTTCCGCGCTGTTCACAGTTTCCGCGTGACATTCCTATTGCATGTTCATAGTAAAAAGCGTATTCCTTAAGCCCCCTGAAGCCCGCAAACTGCCCTATACTACGTTTACCGGACGGACCCACAAAACAACCTTTTCGCTCTTTTCCGTTCTTGTCGGTCGAACACATGCGCAAACCCCAAGCGGACCGGTATGTGATCGTCTGTTTGTGCGTAATACTACCCCATGCCGACGCTAAAGCAGAATGTTGGAACCAACCCATCGGATTTTTCGGGAGCCATCAGACACCTGTTTGTCTTGTGCTGTGCGAAGGATGTTTTCCCCAGAAACTCATCACTTATCTGTGAAGTGTAGATATTACTTTGCTTGGCAGTGGTCAGCATCTGTGTGATTACTGGGACATTTCAGATAATTCGGTCAACTTCGCAGATTTTAGGACGTGCACTTTCGTTCACCCCTCAGTCTCCCTGCGTAACTCTTGAAGAACTGCACGTCGATATGACAGGAAGGTTGCTCCTGCCTGATAGTCCAGTTGTTTGCTGCCCGGCATGTTTACAGCTGGCAACTATTCGAGTTCATTGCGGCTTTTTATTAAAGGAAGGGCAGTTAAAAGCCTTTGAATTTCATAGTAGTTAGGGGAAAACGCCGATATCTACGTGTTTGGCGAAATAATTTGAGAATTAATGTTGCTGCAGAATTGTGACTAACACCTCTTGCAACGGGAGGCATGTGTTACTTTCTGTTGGCGTCGCAGTGCGTATAGCTGTGTTGGTCAAGTTTCGTCTTAAAAATGTTCACGGATGGGGACTTGGCAATGTCCGCAGGCAGAGTATTCCATGCCTGAATCACTCTATTGAAGAATAAGGACTTTGTTGTATCTACTTTTGCCCCGGTCACACCTAGTCTGTGGGGGTGTTCTTTGAAACTAATGGTATTGGAATCCCCTTCGGCAAAGTCCAGTTGCAAAATAAGTAGACCCTCACGTTTGATGATTAGACATTCATAGCCCGGCTACATAGCCGGTCTTCTCAACTTCTAAAGTCTTCATCCGTCATCATCCGCTACAATTTTCTAATCTTGGTTTTGGTGAATAGCATCGGATTATCGCTAAGCCGCCAAAGGGACAAAGGTAGCCACTGTAGTTCATTAGACCTTCACCTCACAGATGGACGCTGGCGCAGTAACTGACATGGCCATCACATACCATCACTATGCTGGGATTCGTAGACCTAACACAACTTGAAGTACCATAACAAGCAGTAAGTGTGCTGGTGTACTACCCGTCAGTTGGCTACCGCATATAGGAAACCTTTTGGGAG